AGGAGAAGGCCCTTATGAAGGCAGTGGCGTCTGTGGGACCAATCTCTGTTGCTATTGACGCAGGCCATGCGTCCTTCCAATTCTACAAAGATGGTAGGTTGTCATCATTTTATTATAGAAATTGGAAAGCACCAGCATGATTGATTTTGGGTATGTAGTCCTGCTTTCCAGGGCTGTAAAATGTTGAGTGTGTGCATTTAACGTAGTGGGATGACGTTTCCATTTAACACGACAATTTTCTTTTATATCTCTGTACTTTTTCCAGAGGGCATGCTCTCTCTCTGGGGAGAAAGAGGGTGGGAGTAGGTGAGAAGCCCCGCCCACAGGGCACGGCCATGCCACGATCTCGTCTCCTTTTCCCCTCCTTTCAGGATTTCGGGCATGTGCACACTTGTGTCCAGCATGTTTCTTGAGCTTTCAGGTCCAGGACGCGACCTGTATAGTTGGCCATGTGGAACCCAGTCACTTTAAGACCACACCACAGGCTGGCCCCATAAGCATTTTCTCATGATTGCAGACTCTTCATAGGTATTTGTAAATGGTTATGTAAGTAATTATATTCATCTAGCATAACTGAGCCTAACTAGTCTCCAATTGCTGGACCTTTTTTCTAAAACATTTTTACTGGTGTAATTGGGTTTGTAAAGAACCTCATAGTTCAAGTGTGTTTTATGTGTGTTACCTTAGCCTTAAAAACCATAGGTCCATTTTTTTTAAAGTAGAAAATACTTTAAGTAGAAAAGATATATGTATATGTATGACTTTAAGCAGAAAAGTATATATATATATATATATATATTTTTTTTTTTTTGGAGAGGTTTTTGCTATAGGGTGTGTGCACTCGCCTGAAAGACAGAGAGAGACAGAAAGTGAGAAATCATCCCCCAGGGGGGATGGCCACGCTGCAATCCCTTCTCTATTCTCCTCTCAAGATCTTGGGCACACATGCACATGCTCCTGGTGTGAGTTTAAGCCACCGGGTCCGGGACTTAAACCACGGTTGACTGTATGGGAGTCCAGCGATATAGCCATTACGCTAACTGTTGGTCCCGAAAAGTATATATTTTTTAAGGTAGAAAATATCTTTAATTTGGTTGGACTTTTTATGAGTCAAAGTTGACTGCTTTTTTATCAGTCATAACTGTTTTTGTACGTATTTTTAAGTTCCATGTAGAACTGGCTTACGTCGTTTCCCTGAATCTACACATGCCCCCTTTACTGCAGGGGACAGGGTGGGTCCCTGTGTTGTGCCTTAGAATTTCTCACTTCAGCATTGATTTCTCTCCTAGGCATTTATTATGAGCCAGACTGCAGCAGTGAAAACCTGGATCATGGTGTTCTGGTGGTTGGCTACGGCGTTGAAAAAAGGAATTCAAATGATAAATATTGGCTTATCAAGAATAGGTATAATATTTTAAATATTATATTTTACAAAGAAGAGAGAATCCTTGTTTGAAATTGATATTAAATGTCTAGTTTCCAAAGCTCAGTTTGGAAATCCCAGAAGTCTTTCTCCCACTCAGAGTGAACACAGAAGTATTAATATTTGACCATAAGATTCCCTACCAAGCTTGTGGGGTTTATTAATATTCGGTTATCAAGAAGGTCATGATGTGTTTTCTTCTTTTTCTATGCAAAAATACATCATGACTTTTCCAATGATCCAATATGTATTTGTAACATTGCACTTCTAAATTCTGAAAATAATAATTTTTTTTTGAGAGGTTTTTGCTATAGGGCACATGCGGTTGCCAGCCAGACAGAGAGAGACAGAGAGACAGAGAGCAAGAAATCAACCCCCAGGGGGGATGGCCTTCTCCTCCATTCTCCTCTCTGGATCTTGGGCATGCACGCATATGTGCCCGGCGTGAGTTTAAGCCACCGGGTCCGGGACTCGAACCACAGTCGACTACGTGGGAGTTCAGCGACAGAGTCATTACACTAACTGCTGGTCCCAAAGATATTCTTTTTTTTGTGCACTCCCCAGAGAGAAAGAAAGGGAAAGTACCCCCAAATGGGGCATGGTCACACCACCATCGTTTTTCCTCCATTCTGTCAGGATTTTACACACTTACATGTGCACCTGAAGGGTTTCTCAGTTCTTAATTCTGAAATAGACCTGGCTCTGGGGCTTCAGATAAATGACTGGATCTGTAGGACTGAAGTCCAGTTTCCTTTTTCTGTCTGAGATTTCAACAAGCTCTAAGGGTTTGTCTTTGCTAATTAAGTCTGAAAAATTGACCTGTGTGAATTTGTTCTATTGTCGTTTGATGCCTTTCCATTGCATTTCACTCTCAGTTCTCAAAAGACTAGAGGGTTGTTAGGACTGATTTTCACAACTAAGGCTTTTTAATAGAGAGACAGTATTAGATCTCATATGTTATGTTCGAATTCAATCCTACTTCAATTTCCTGTCTTAAAAAGTTAGGTAAGGGGGAACCAGCAGTTAGTGTAATGGCTATGTCACTGGACTCCCACGTAGTCGACCATGGTTCACGTCCCGGACCCAGTGGCTTAAAACTCAGGCCGGGCACGTGTGTGTGCGTGCCCAAGATCCCGAGAGGAGAATGGAGGAGAAGGGATTGCGGCGTGACCATCCCCCCTGGGGGGTGATTTCTCGCTTTCTGTTTCTATGTCTCTCTCTGTCTCTCGAGCACACACGCCCTATAGCGAAAACCTCTCCCCCCAAAAAAGTTAGGTAAGGATCCACAGGAGCGAATACATTTCTAAATAGATGTACAACACTTAAAATAGTACCTGACACAGGGTATACAGTATATTGATATGAGCTGTTTTATTTATAAAGTTAGTATTTCCTCAATTCTTTGTATAACATGAAAACCCTATTTCTCTTTCAGCTGGGGTGAACAGTGGGGTGCAAATGGTTATGTGAAAATAGCCAAAGACAGAAACAACCACTGTGGGGTCGCCTCAGCAGCCAGCTATCCTGTCGTCTGAGCTGACGAATGGTGATCTTGGAAGACTTGAGGACTATCTGGAGGAATTTTATCTTAAAACTGACCAAACCCTTATTTGTAAGATAAAACACTTGAATCACCAAGGATCCAAGTTGTGATTTGAATTCTGTGACATTTTTACAAGGGTAAAATGTTACCACTATGTTAATTACTGTTATAAACAGCTTTATGATATTGAAGACTCATTGTTTAATTCTAAGGCTTTTGAATTTTCATTTTTTAAAAGGATGTATAAAGTTTTACCTTTAAAATAAATTTTAATTCAGTATGTAAAAGTGACATTTCTTCCTTTTTTTTTGTTTCTTTTTTTTTTTAGGGTTTTACCATAGGGTAGGTAGGCTCACCAGAGAGAGCAGTAAAGTGAGAAATCACTCCCTTGGGGGGGTGGAGGGGTTGGCTATGTGGCCATGCTGCAATCCCTTCTCCATTTTCTACCTTAGTTTTTGGGCACACGTACACACACATGCACCCAGTGTAATTTTCAATCCACCGGGTCCTGGACTTCAACTGTGGTTGGCCATGTGGGAATCCAGTGCCTTAACCCCCACATCTCCTGCTGGCCCCTTTTCCTTGCTTTTAATGCATTGACTTTTTGTAGAGTTGGGGAAATGTAATTGGGCTCTAATGACATAACCCAGTGGGCCAGTGGTGGTACATCAGGAGAAAGATGCTGGGCCACCTCCTGGCTCTTTCGTACAAATATGCAGGTGTTAGGTCAGCTGTCCATTGGCTGTGTGTAACCCAGCTCTTGAGTCCGGCAAAATTTGACAAAACATCTGGAAGAGCAAGGGTAAGATGTTTTAGTGAAGAAAAATCAATTCACTATTTTCAATCTATCAGTGAACATACTTACATAACCTTACCATCTTGAGTCAAAGGAGGATCTACTTTTCATTTCCTTCACAATGGTTTATGGCTCATGTAACTATTTCACCAGCTTATGCCTTTTCTAATTTTACTGGGAATGTGAGGTTTTTCATTTTAAAAAATCTTAATTTATTTGTAATCCTTTTTTTTGGTGGGGGGAGAAATTTTTTGGTATAGGGCCTGTGTGCTTGTTGGAGAGAAAGAAAGCGAGAAATCATCCCCTATGTGGAATGACCACACTGCAGATCATTCTCCATTCTCTTCTCAAGGCACACACACATGCCAGGCATAAGTTTTCTTTCTTTTCTTTTTGGAGAGATTTTTGCTATAGGGCGTGCATGCGCTTGCCAGAAAGAGACAGAAAGCAAGAAATCAACCCCCTGGGGGGGTGGCCACACCGCAATCTCTTTTCCTCCATTCTCCTCTTGGGATCTTGGGCACGCATGCACATGAGCCCGGCATGAGTTTAAGCCACCGGGTCCAGGACTTGAACCATGACTACGTGGGAGTCCAATGACATAGCCATTACGCCAACTACTGGTCCCACCTGGCATGAGTTTTAAACTGCCAGGTCTGGGACTCAAACCACAGTTGACTATGTGGGAGTCCAGCAACAACCATTATACCACCTGCTGGTCCTCAGAATATGAGATTTTTAAACACTCACCTGCCCAATGTGGATTTATATATTTTACTGTATTTTTCTGCTAATGAAAAATAAGTGGTGTGGTGGTTAAGGTGCTGGACACTCCCACATTTCAGACCATGGTTCGAGTCCTGGATCTGGTTGCTTGCTTTCTCACTCCCTCTCTTTCTTTGTGTCTCTTTCTGGTTAAAATAAATGAATAATTTAAACTACATTCTTTTTTTTTAAAAAAAAAGAAAAATATGTGATAAGTCATGGTGCTATAAAGACCACGTGACTACGTTACAGCCTCTGAGGAATGACTAGACACATGGATTTACCAAGACGGCTGTGGGATTTTTCTGTCAACTCTCCAATGACATTCTACACAGCTCTTTCAGGAAAGTGTTACTGAATGGCTTCTATGATGATACCCAGATTTTTGTTGTTTTGGACAAAGAATTGAATGAAACGTGCCAATAGTGAAAGGAAAGGGTAGTTTATTTAGTAGAAAAAGCGAAAGTACACTTGTAAGAGGTAGGAGCGGGCCTGAGCAGACAGAGTGACTCCAAAGGCCCCAGCAGTTACATTTTGTGAGGTTCGTTTGCAATTTTTAAAATCTAGGTCATTAACCCTTGTATCTCATTGGCTCTATCAAATGTGGTTGGGCCCACTGATTCACCTCATTGGCTATAATCAATAATCAGCTAGACATCCCCCACTAACCTGCCTCCACTAGGTTGAGTGGGGAATTTTCTTCATTGATTGGTTTCTCTATCTAGCCTTAAAGTGATGTTCCAGACCCTTTACCTGTTTCCATTTGCTAGCTTTTTCCTGCCTTAACTGCCTCATTTGTTACTTAGTATTAACAGAAATAAAGTCAAAATGGCTGTGAATAACAAGTCTCAAGTGTTCAGTAATAGCTGGAGAAATATGTTCAAGGTCCACAAGAGAGTATGCTAGGTCACAAAAATAGTCCTCTGACCTCAGAAGAGAACACAAGTGGGAGACAGGCCAGAAATCACAGACTTCAGCTACCTAATCCTGAGTTAAAAATATACTTGGAAGGGAACAAAACAGGCTAAGTGTATAGTTACACAGATGGTGAATACAAAAAATATATTTTCATATTTAACAGACTAGAAGGGAATGTACTGATTTCTTGATGAGTTATGGGTAATTAAATTTATTCTGTAAAAAGTATATATTTTTTTAGTTTGTGAGAGGGTGTATGTACTTGTCAGAGAGAGACAGAGAGGAGAACGTAGAGCATGGTCACACCACAATTCCTTCTCCATTTCTGTCCTGCTGAGATTTTAGGCATGCATGCATATGCACTGAATATATTTCTTAAGCCTTTGGGTCTAGGATTTGAAGTGTACAGTGAGCTATGTGGAGCCAGCTCCCTTAACCATCAGGCTGGCCCTGAAGCATGTATTTTATTAGTAGTAAAATATATCCACATTCTTCAGGCCAAGGACTCTTCAAATGTGGTTTAAAAATCAAACATTCCCAATAAAATAAGGGTTTTTTTTTTCTCTTCTTTTTTTTTTTTTTTTAGAGAGATTTTTCCCATAGGGTGTTGTATGCATTCACCAGAAAGACAGAGAGACAGAAAGCAAGAAATCAACCCCTCAGGGGGATGGCCATGCTGCAATCCCTACTCTTCCATTCTTGTCTCAGGAGTTTGGGCACATACACACACATGCCTGGCGTGAGTTTCATGCCACCAGGTCCAGGACTTGAACTCCGGTCGACCACGTGGGAGTCCAGTGATGTAACCATTATGGCATCTGCTGGTCCCATCCCAATAAAATAAAAGCAAGGGATAAGGTGGTGAAATATTTACATGGGCCATTACTCATCATGAGAAGAAGGAAAGGTAGAGGACAAGGGGACCTCACAACCCAGAAAATGTTCAACAACCTTTGATCGTGGCCATCTCTGGAAACTCCAATCATCCGTATTCAGTCTGAGTCTTCTTTGAGAATGGATTCCTTCACTTTACTTCCCAACAGCAGGCTGTCTTTACTGTCCACAGAATCTTGGAATGGCGATCTCTAAGGAAACATCTAGGTGCTAAACTGAACAAGTGTGATGGATCTGTGCGGCTCTGTGTTTAATGAAGCTTCAAGTCTGTCAAAGCAGAACACCCTTCAGATGTCCAAACTCTATTAATGGAGATATTTGAAGGCTTTGTAATTCTCAAGGAACTTTAAAATACTTTAAACGTGTGGAAAGTTGCAAACCGCATCTATTGTCTAAAACCATTTTTCAATGAAGCCAATAGATGTGGAAAATTCTAGTCTGAGACACAGGCTTACTACCAGTTTTTCACTAACATTTAAATGTTGTGTTATTTAAATTAAATGGCAATGGAAGAGAGCTGGATGGTGATGCAGTGCTAACACACTGCTCTGGGAAGCTGACCACATCGGAAGGTCTGGGTTCACTTCCTAAGACCTCCTGGACGCACACGTGGCACACGCGTGTGACTGATCCAGGGTGGCTGAGGCTGTTTGAAGACCGTGTGAGGACCTTGTCGGGTGCTTCTCTCTTCCCCTCTGCCTCTCCTCTCATCCTCTCTCATTCTGCCTCTCTGGCTCATGGATAAAATAAATAAAATACCCCCCCACACACACACACACAATTATATAATGTCTAGCATTCATGGAGGATTACAAAGTGCTTCTTGTTACATCATTTCATCTGACACCTAACAGACTCCAACAAAACTCAGGATTAGGGCCTTAGGGTCTTTTATTTTGTAACCATGAGCTGGAATTTTCCACTTCTAATATGAAAGTTCATATTTCTCTTTCTTGCTTTTAATTATCTTGTATTTTTAATGATTTTCTGCCTGTTTTTCAGTAATGTAAAGAGACAGCTCAGTAGGGTTCTTTGAATTGCTCTAAAAGAGCAATTTCAAATTTTGAAAAGAGTTTACTCTTTTCAAAACAGGACTTGGAGGAATCAGCAGTTAGTGTAATGGCTATGTCGCTGGACTCCCATGTAGTCAACCGCGGTTCACGTCCTGGACCCGGTGGCTTAAAACTCACGCCGGGTGCGTGTGCGTGCGTGCCCAAGATCCCGAGAGGAGAAGAGAGGAGAATCCCCCTGGGGGGTGATTTCTTGCTTTCTGTCTCTATGTCTCTCTCTGTCTGTCTGGCGAGCACACGCACCCTATAGTGAAAATCTCTCTCTCAAAAAAAAACAGGACTTGGTATGGGGTGGAAAGTCTCCTTAAAAATGTTCAGAAGTCACTAGATGGGAAATTGTGAGCAAGTAAGTTGTTTTCCTCAGATAATCATGTCATTTTATACTGGAAATTATTTTTGGCATTTGAATTAATATCCATGGTTTTGAAAATAGCAAGCCCTTTAAAGAGAGAGTTCTGCAGGAGCTTAGAGAGTCATTTTCTCAGATTAAATTGGTCTTTTTTTTTTTTTTTTTTTTTGAGAGATTTTTGCTATAGGGCACATGTGCTCACTGGAGAGACAGAGAGAATTCATCTCCCAGGGTGGTTGGTCACACTGCAGTTCCTTTTGCTCCATTCTCCTCCCAAGATTTTGGATATGCATGTATATGCACCAGGTGTGAGTTTCAAGCCATTGAGTCTGGGACTTGAGCCATGGTCAGAAACGTGGGAGTCTAACACCTTAGCCACTATGCCACCAGAGTTAATTGGTCTTATTGTGGCCGAAGAAACACATAGTCTTGACTTTGCAATATAATTTTGTTTGTTTATATTTTCAGTTTTGCCATAGGGCTCATGCACTCACTGGAGAGAGACAGAGAGAGATGGCAAATGTGAAATCACTCTCTGAAGTGATGGCCATACCATAATCCCTTCTCCTCCATTCTCCTCTCAGGATTTTGGGCACACACACACACACACAAACACTCAGCATGTTCTTCAAGTCCAGGACTTGAACCATGTAGGTGGCCGTGTGAGAGCCAGACATCTTAACCACCACACCGGTGGCCGGCCCAAAATATAATTTTTAAGTAGGAAAACTAGTAATATATAGAACAGTGTGAATAATTTAGCATAATTTTAAAAAATATGTACAGACTTACACATTTTTGTATGCTCATTTAAAAATGTTCACTGAAGATATAAACCAGATATGTTTCTGGATGTGCTAAAAGGAGACACTTTTCTCTTGGTGCTGTATAATTTCAATTTTAAAAAATAATTAACACACACTATTCTCATAAGGCAATAGATTCAGAAGCATGTGGTTGAAGAATAAAAAATTAATTGGTCTAAGAGAAGGAGGAGGAGGGAAGAAACAGAATTCTTAGCTACCTGGTGCTCAGAGGAGTCTCCTCTCTGGGGAACTTGTGTCCTGAGATTCGCACTGAAACGGCTCAGCCATTGCACTCACACAGCACGGGCACATGGTCTACCATGGCTAGCTGGGTTCCAGTGTGGTCCATGCAAGTCTCAGCAGCGTACTCTCTCCGATAACGGCTCCCACTTACTGTTCTCAGTGAAGAAACTCGAGAGCTTTACTAAGGGCTAAAGAAGAGATAGACAATGCGGGAACATAGCAAAGGACAATGTGCTAATTAGACTGCCTTAGTGAGACTGCATAATGGCTCTGCTAAGAGTTCCAGAACATTCTTCCCCGTAAGTCTTTCTCTCGGCCCCACCACCGCACACACTCACCATTTCCCAACAGTAGAACACTGTACTGAGCTGTCAACAGAAATATCTTTCTCTTGTTTTTTTATGCCCTTGCCTCTTCTTCTACCCTCAGGAATAGCAATAGGTTACTAATCACCCAACATTCAGGAACAGTCCAGTAAAAGTAGGAGCAAAGAGCAAATCCTTTACTTTGGGATCTCAATTCTGCTCATAAAAATCATAGCACAGTTGGGCCAGCAGGTGGGGTGGTGCTTAAAGTGCTGGATCCCACATGGACAATTCATGGTGTGAGTCCTAGACTGACAGCTTGAAAATCATGCTGGGTGTGTATGCACACGTGTGCCCTAAGTCCAGAGAGAAGAAGGGATTGTGGCATGGCCATCCCTCCTGGGAGGTGATTTCTCACTTTCCCTCTGTGTTTCTCTCTGATAAGCACACAAGCCCTATGGCAAAAATTTCAAAAAATAGGGAATGATGGTAATTGTTTTATATCTTGATAAGGTTTGAGCTATGTAAGTGTACCCATGGGTAAAACCTCAAGGGATAGACACTTAAGATTTAATATCTTATTATATGCAATTTTTACATGAAAAAAATTATAAACAAATAATGAGCTATGGTTAGTGGCATGCATACTAAAGTATATAAAAGGAAGTACGGAAATCCGCAGAACACTTTTATATCTTCAGTGGTAAAATGATCAGGACATAAAATTTATCTAACCAGGCAGTGGCGTGGTGGTGAAGGCAGCTGGGAGACTATGTGGTTCAAGCCCTAGATATGACGCCTTGAGAAACATGCCAGGCACATGTGTGTATGTGGCCATAATCCAGAAAGGAGGGAGAAAAGGGAGGAGAAGGGAATTAGTATGACCATTTCCCTTGCGGGGAGGAGGGCTTTCTCACTTTGTCTCTCTCTCACTCTGTCTCTCTCCTGCAAGTATACATGCTCTCTGGCAAAACTAAAAAAAAAAAAGAAAAAAAATCATTTTCAAGTGTACAATTTGGTAGCACTAAATATATTTGGCATGTTGTACAACCATCACCTTTCTTCATATCCAAATTTTTATTATCATCCCAACAGAAGTTCTGTACCCACTAAATAGTAATTCCCCAACTTCCTCTCCCCCAGGCTCCTGGTAACCTTTATTGTACTGTCTGTCTCTGTGAATTTGCCCACCGGAGGTACTTCACTTACATGTCATCATACAGCGCTTGTCCTTTTGTGCTGGCTTATTTCACTTAGCATAATGCTTTCGAGTTTCAGCTGTTTCCTATGTATCAGAATTGTGTTCCTTTTTAGGGAGCAATAATATTCCATTCTCCCGAATGTTTTGTTTATCCTTCCATCTGTCTGTTAATGGGCAGTTGGGTGGTTTAGACCTTTTGGCTATTACAAATGACGCTTCTGCAAAGATTGTGTACAGTGTCTGAGTGGAATTCCTGAACTGTATGAGAATTCTGCATGAACTTTTTGAAGGACTGTCAAGCTATTTTTCACGGTAGTTGTAACCTTTTTTACAGTCAAGCTAACAAGATGACCTGAATAAAAGAAGACGAAAGCATGATTAAATAAAAAAGAGGACCAGCAGTTAGAGTAATGGCTATGTCGCTGGACTCCCATGTAGTTGACCGCAGTTCAAGTCCTGGACCTGGTGGCTTAAACTCATGCTGGGCACATGTGCGTGCGTGCCCAAGATCCCGAGAGGAGAAAGGAGGAGCAGGGATTGCTGCGTGGCCATCCCCCAAGGGTGGGGGATGATTTCTCCCTTCCTGTCTCTCTGTCTTTCTGTCTTTCTGGCGAGTGCATGTGCCCTATAGCAAAATCCTCTCAAAAAAAAAAAAATAAAATAAAAAAGAAAAAGAAAAAAAAAAGGAAAAGAAAAAGTAATAAAATAAAATAAAAATATTGTTAGTTACTGTCAACTTACACTTAGTGGCTAATAATCAGACCATGTCTTTGATTGAATCTCTCTCAACAATTTTTGTTATGGTCAAGTCACTGACAGGAAGCTTGAGGGAACTATAGCACGCACATATGCACAAATCCACTCCATTCCACTAAGCCAGCCCAAACACACATGAAATACAAATAAAAAGCCTATCAATACCTCTGCTAGGAATATATAGCTCTGGAACAAATCCCTGGGGCCTCTTATTACCGGTAGCCCCTCCTATGGGAAATTAATTGTCGAAGATGTGATGACAGAGGTGGAGGGATGGTCTACTAAAGAAGTCTTGGATGTAAGTGACAGAACCCAATTTTTTTTTTTTTGAGAGGTTTTTTTTTTTTTTGCTATAGGGCACGTGCGCTCGCCCAGACAGGCAGAGAGACGGAGAGACAGAAAGTGAGAAATCACCCCCCAGGGGAGGAAGGCCACACCACAATCTCTTCTCCTCCATTCTCCTCTCTGGATCTTGGGCATGCATGCACACACACCCGGCGTGAGTTTAAGCCACCGGGTCCAGGACTTGAACCGCGGTCAACAACATGGGAGTCCAGCGACATAGCCATTACGCTAACTGCTGGTCCCCAGAACCCAATTTTAAACTAGCAGACATGAGAGGAGGAACTCAGTCCCTGTGGGTCTGGCTGAACCCAGGGCACTCCACCAAGGATCTACTTTTCCCTTGGTTATAACAGTCAGGCTATGCAGATGGCATAGCGGGTTATATCACTGGACTCCCACATGGCCGCCCACAGTTCAAGTCCTGAACCAGGTGGCTTGAAGATCATGCTGGGCAGGTGTGTGTGAGTATCCAAAATCCCAGGAGGAGAATGAAGGAGAAGGGATTGCGACATGGCTATCCCCTAGGGGGGCGGAGGGGGGGGAAGATTTCATTTTCCCTGTCTGTCTCCAGCAAGCACCCGTGCCCCAAGGCAAAACCTCATTAAAAAAAAGAACAGTCTAGCCTTTTTAGCCTCTTTAGAGAAAAAAAATGGTTTTCCTGGTTGTGTCTGGGGCCGGAGCTGCCCAGCCCTGCCTGGGTCACCGGCTCTCTCACATGGACTGCAAAGAGTGGTGGTTCCAAAGGAAAAGCAGGACATCTTTACCAGGGGCACCCTAACAGGAGGTGTACCCGAGTAAGAGAACCAAGAACTGGCCCAGCCAGAGTGGCGCCACTGTACAGCCTAGAGGCTGTGTTCCACAGGTTGGGACCACATGATAGGTCTGGGTTCAATTCCTAGTTCAACCTAAAGGCCAGGTGTGGTGGAAGCACCTAATCTCACTAAATGGGGAGGTCGAGTCAGGGGGACTGGGAGTTTGAAGTTGGCCTGGACAACGGAGTGAGATCTTGACTGAAAGGGATGGGAGTGGTGGGCAAAGCAGGAGGATCATGAGTCAGAAAGGCCCAAACTGTCTTAAAAAGAAAGGAAAAAAAAATTTTTTTGTTGTTATATTTACTATAGGGTTGAGGCTGGCAGGTGGCAAGGTGGTCGAGGGTATTGGACTCCCATGTGGCCAACTGTGGTTCAAGTCCCAGGCCTGGTGGCTTGCTTTCTCACTTTCCCTCTCTCTCACTCTGCCCTTTTCTGATCAAAGTAAAAATAAATAAATATTGTTAAATAAAATAATTATTTCAAAAGAAGATAATCATTAATATTTACTATAGGGCATGTGTGTTTGCCAGAGAGGGGGGTGGGAGGGAGTGAGAAAGTACCCCAAAGGGCATGGCTATGCTTCTATTCCTTCTCCATTCTCCTCTCAGGATTTTAGCTGCCGATTCAGGACTCAAACCAAGCAGTCAGCTATGTAGGATTCTGCTGCCTTAACCTCCATGCTATCTGCTGGCCTGGAAAAAAATTTAAGAAAGAGACAGAAAAAAAAAGGAGAATAAAAAGGTTTCCAAAACCTGGAAAGATTAAAACTAAAAGAATGAAATTAATCATGAATAAATATAATAGAAAGTACTATGTTGAGATTAACCATATTTAGGTGTGTTGCCTGTTTTCCATTGTCTTAGTTTGATTGATTTTTTTTAAAAAGATTTTTGCCATAGGGCAAGGGAGAGATAGTGAGAGGGAAAGTGAGAGATCATCTCCACCCCCACCAGGAGGATAGCCATGCTCCAATACCTTCTCCTCCGGGGATTTTGGGCATGTGCGCGTGCGCACACACACACACACACACACACACACACACACACATGCACACACACGTCTTGCGTGGTTTTCAAGCCACCAGGTTGGGGACTCAAACCATGGTTGGCCATGTGGGAGTCCAGTGCCTCACCGCCTATCAAATATGTATATGTAAACACACACACACGTGTGTGTGTGTGTCCTGAGTACGGGATAAAGGAGAAATTATTTAGTAATATTCTTAAAAACATCTTTGGGTTTGATTACCAATAATTCAACATGATTAAGAAAATGTTTTTGGCACCCAAATGTTCTCAGTAACAGGACTAAAGGGCTGGACAGAGGAGGAAGTAGTGATGTTAATGTCTACTTTGTGGCATCGTATGTGGCATATTGTGTGTGTGGTTTTTTTTTTTTAAGAATTATTTCAACTTTATTTAGTTACTTTTATTTGGCCTGAGAGGGACAGAGTGAGTGAGAGAGAGAGAGAGAGAAAGTGAGAAAGCAAGCGCCGGGTCCAGGACTCGAGCTGCCGTAGGCCATGTGGGAGTCCAGCGCCCTTAACCACCGTGCTACTTGCTGGTTTCAGCATATTGAGTTTTAAGAAGGGTGCTGCTGAACAACTAGAGAAAAATCACTATCTATCGAGCAAGAGGTATAACCCAGAAAGAAGTGAAGAATCTGTAGTGGGTATTATAGAGACGATTCCTGCTTTGCCTAAGAGCCGTTATCTTCAAACAGACAGCCAGGTAGGTCTTGCACAGCTCCTGCAAAGCCCCAAAGGGCACACCCTGAAAACACGAGTCCCACTGTAAACCTAGGATGACTTTCCAGGCCAGTCTTGAAAAGAACTGGAGGATAAGAAACTCAGGAATTTCCTGTTTTTTCCTTTGGAGAGGTTTTTGCTATAGGGCGTGTGCGCTCGCCAGAAAGACAGAGAGAGACAGAGAGACAGAAAGCGAGAAATCACCCCCCGGGGGGG